ATTATAAAATAATATTTAATTTTATTATAAAATACTATAATATTTTATTTTATTTAAAATAATATTTAAAATATTATTTAATTTTATTTTAAAATAATATTTAATTTTATTTTATAATTTAGATTTAGGATTTAAAAGTGGGTAATTTTCTAGAATTATTAAAATTGTTGGCTCTATTTGGCAAAAATTTGAAAAAGATCATGCAATTTAGAATATTTTAGTTGCTCATCTTTGACTTTATAAAGAAAAAAAATATCTATATGATCAATCATATGCACAAGATTATGATATTTCTATTACTTGGTGGAATTCAATTGAACCAGAACCTAAATATCTTCAAGAATTAGTACTAAAAATCTTAGCAATTGTTCCTAATAGTGCTTCATATGAAAGAAATTTTTCTTTACTTACTTAGCTAACTAGAAATAGATGAATACAAATAGATATTCAAAATTTAGAAACAGTTGCAAAACTATGTACATATTATAATTCTAATGCAAAAAAAGAACTTTCTTATTTTGCAAATGAAATAACTGAAAATGAAGTTTTAGAAATATTAAATCAAAAAATATTAATACTTTTGAAAAAAGATTAGAAAAAGAAGGATTTAATAAAGATAAATTATTATTATTTAATAATTTAGATTTTAGTAAAGATTATACAATAACTAAAAAAAATTTAGTTTTATTTTTAGAAGAAAATTTAGATCTAAATGATGAAATTTTTGTTGATGATTTAGAAAATTTCCTGATATTAAAGATAATGATGAAGATATATTATTAGAAACTAATAAAATTTTAGAAAATATTAATTAACAAACTAGTCAAATTTCAGGACAAGATAATTATAATTAGGATTCTGAAGATTATTTAAATTTAGATGATAATTAAAGGTAAATATTTAAATAAATATTAATTTAATTATTTATTAAAATTTTATATTATTATAATTATAAAATTTATTTATGAATTATTAAATTTTATTTTTATTATTATAGTATTAAGCTTTTTGTTTAATAGAAATTTTTTTTTACTTAGTTAGCAAGTTTTTTTTTTACTATTGAAGATAAATATTTAAATAAATTTTAATTTTATTATTTAAGATAAAAATTTATATAAATATTAATTTTATTATTTATTAAAATTTTATATTAATTATAACTATAAATTTTTAAAATTTATTTTATAAATTATTAAAATTTTATTTTTATTATTAAGCTTTTTGTCTAAATAGAAAGTTTTTTTTCTTTCTATTAATTATTTTAATTCTTTTAGTTTAATTTTTATATTTTTATATTATATATTTTATTTTTTTAAAAATTTAATAAAATAAATTTTTAATTTATTTTTTAAAATATTAAAATAATTAAATAGTTAATTTTTATATAGATAAATATATAATTATTATATAATTATAATATATATAAATTAATTATTTTAAATAAATTTATAAATAATTAAAGTCTAAATTAAAAATAAAATACAAATTAGTTAAAAGGTTTATCTAAATTAAAATATAAATATAATTACAAAAAAGTCTGATTTTATAATAAAATTTTTATTAATATTTATTTGTTAAATATTATATTATATAAAATATATAATATAAAAAATATTATAATATAAATAATTTTTATATCTAATAATATATATATTAATATTTAAAATTAATTAATTTTATTATTATTTTATTTATTTTATTAAAACAAATTGAATAATACTAAAATGTTTTAATTTTAATAACTAAATTGTAAAATATTGATATACTAGTATACAAATAATAATTATCTTAATAAAAAATTATTAAATTTTTATAAAAATTTAAAAATAAATAAATATTTTAATTATAAAAATCAATTTACTTAATAAAAAATCTATTAATAATATATTATAATTATTTTTTATTAAAATTTATTAATAAAAAAATTATTTATTTAATTTAAACAATAATATTTTATAATTTAGTAACTAGAATTAGATAATTTTATTTATATTTAATTAATTTTAATAAAATAAATTAAATAATAATAACATTATCTATTTTGATTTCTGTAATTAGTAATACTTTCTTTTATCATACAGTATATAAAAATAAAAAAATAAATCTTTCAATTATTTCTTTTATAATTTTCTTATATTTTACTAATTTTACTTTTTTAAGTTTTATTACTTTTTAGTAGTTTTGCTAGTTTCAATAGTTTTACTAGTTTCAATAGTTTCATCAGTTTCGACAGTTTCACCAGTTTCACTAGTTTCACCATTTCACTATTTTTAAATTTTTTTTGGCAAAAGTCGAAACTAGTTTCGACTTTTGCTTTTGGCGAAACCTCTAAGTTTTGCCTAACAACACTAGTTAGAATGGTGTTAGTTTATATTTTTTTATTTTGTTACATTCTATTGGTTAACACAAAATTAGATGATACTAGATCAGCAGGCAAAAAATATTAAATAAAAAATTTTACTCAGAAGTCTTTATTTATAAATAAAGTACTTAAAAAGAAAAAAGTCAGACTTAAAGATTTTATATAATATCACTACAGCTTATCTAAAACTCTCTAATACTAATTAATTAAACCACTAGTCACCATCATTTCCCTAATTAATGTTTAATTTTATATTCATTATGACTTTTATTTCTCTCAAATGATGTTTAATTTTATATTCATTATGACTCTTATTGCCAATTTCCTATTATAATAATGATGTTTAGATAACAAAACGTGGCAAATAATAATAACACCGATAGAGAAAATAAGATAATCAAGTATATATAGGTAAGCAGAACAAATAATAATTAAATTGAAAGGGAATAAGGTAACTAAAACAAGAAAGTTAGTAGAAGAAAAATCAAAAGGTAATTATTGGCACAATAACAGAATAAATATAGTTAATCACGTGTAAAAAATATTATTGTGCGATAGGAGATTACAATAAAATAATTTATATCGCATATATTAAACTATTCTATAAGTACATAGTTTTAATATCTAATTATTAGAATTAAATTTAAATCTAAATCTTTTAATATCTAATGATTTAACTTATTCAAGAAATCATAATAAGAGCCACTAACATTAGTACTAACAAAAAGAAAGTATTTATACAATTTCCAAGTGTTAGAATTTGGTAAAGAGAAATCAGCTAACACTTTAGTCCAATATTGAGCATCCAATCCTTTAATATTATAAGCTGATTCAGTAGTATATTCAATTTCCCAAGTAACTTTACCTTCTATATTGGCCTTTGTTATATCACTATAATGTTGAATCCAACTTTGTAACTTGCCAAAAGTTTCAATAGAAGTGGAGTATAATAATTCTCGAAATGCCGGGTTAATATCTTTCAAATAAATAAAATGAGTATTCAAAATATTTAAAATAAATTTTAAATAAACTTTTTTTTTACCTGGAACAATTGAAGGGGCATTATATAATGGCATCAATATATTTTTATAATTATCAGATGATGATAATATTGTAGGGTCACCAAGCCCAATAAGTTTATATTTAGAAGTTTTGGAATCTTGTGTAAGAAATGCTGTATTATCTTCATTTGTATGTCCTGTGATATAAATAAAGAAATTTAAAGATAAAATATTTAATGATAATAAGCTTAAATTAAAGCTTACCAGTAAAATGCCCATAAATTATATCATGATAATGGCCAAGTAAATCAACGTATGAATTGTAACATGATTCATTGTATTGCGAATATCCTTAAGTTTAATTTAATAATAAAGATAAAATAATTTAATATCACAGATTTATTCAGTCCACAATTAAGAATAGTATATAATTTATTAATTCCATTATTACCTGTAACATTAACAGGAGGGACATGTTGAATAATATAAACTTTTCTACCATCGTGTTTAGCATTTTCCAATTCATTTTCAATCCATTTCAACTGTATTTCACCAGGTGAATTTGGAACTGCACAATCTGGTGATTGAAAATTGTAGGGATAAAAATACATTGAATTCAAACTTAAAACAGAAAGTTTTGAATTGATATCGTGACGAAAGTAGCCACCAATTAAAAAGTCATTTGTTAAATTTAATTTTAAAGGAGTCCATGCATCTTTCACAGCTATTAATAGATCATTTGGACCTGGCGGAAATTGGTCATGTGCTAAATTGTGTAATAAAATTTTAGTTGGCAAAGGTATTAACTTAGGTACGTAAGTATGTCCAAATACAGAAACTTTTTACCGAATTCATCATTGTTCCCAAACGTAGGAAACTTTATAAAAAAAAAAACTAGTTATTTTATATATTCATAACTTAATAGAAAAAAAATAAATAATAAACATACAAACTTAATCTTATCAGGGTCAAAAATTTCCGTAAAATATTTAACTATGATTTTATGTCCTGAAATTATTTGTTCATTAGTCCTAGGAATTAATCGATCTCTATCATGCCTATTAAAATCCCCAGTAAAAATAATAAAATCGATATTTTTAAAATTATTTTGTAAATATGAAATTGTTTCATTGCTTAAAGAATATGGTGTATCACATAAAGATAATAATGTTCCGTAATTTCCAGCAGTGTTTACTTCAGGATTAGTTTTGTTTTGTCGGTGGCATATTTGTTTTGGATCACTTTTACCTATGTAAAATGGATCAAGGTGAAAGTCTATAATAATTGTTATTTTGGGGAATAATTTTGAAAAAATACTGGATTAATTCTTGAATTATAAAAAACAAAATTATACAAATTATATCGATATTGAAGATATTTGCCGGTAACATGCAAAAATTTTCCGAAAAACTCGTTCGTTGCAGCTTCACAAATTAATACTGTTTCAGCTACGATTAACAGTAAAACAGCAAAAATCAAAATAAACATTATGGTCTTCAAAAAAATAGAAGAAGCGCAATCGTCACGAATGCTCTAGACTTATATGCATAATGAAAACGGCAGGCATTTTATGGCTTAGGTTATAAAAACTCAGCCACAAAATGCGAAATTTATTTTAAATTTTGAGTTCGAAGATTAACGACTAAATAATGATTGTATTTTATAAAATTTATCGTTATACAAACATTTTAAAGAACTTCAGTATCGCATAAAATATGATCTCTACATCAAAAATTACAGTAACTTTTGGAGTTTCGGATGTTCTATATAAATACAACAAAATGAGATGGCTTACTTTCATATGACGAACTGTTACAACTTAATAAGCGATCATCTCAGCCGTGTAGCCAAAAGAACAACGTAAACCCGAAAATTAATCAGAAAATTTTTCAATGTTAAAATCCAAGATAAAACTGGTCCCACTTGTATATAAATCATATAAATCTTAATAGAATTTTTCTAGAACGCGTATCACAATCCGTACGATCGACAGTAACTACTGTATACATACCCGAATTTACCTTTGATAAATGAAAGTATCTGGCGGGTCAGCATAATTAATGATGGTCGGGATTAAAAAGTACAATAAAATTTATTTATTAATGATAACAAAATTTAGTTGTAAAATAAAGCTTTCTTTCCTATTCTTTAATGAGATTATTATACTAATATTGATAATGTTCATAGTATAATAGTATATAATATTAATGTAAAAGATTTCTATCATGCAATTGCAAATTTCTTTTTTAATAAAACCGTACTTGTCTTCCTGCATACATAATATGTAATCTAGGATCATCTCTGAGAGACATGGTCTTTAAAGAATCTTCTTTGCGATTATGAATAGCTTGTTAGTAGAAGCATTCACTCTTTTTTCTTATTATTTCATAATTAAAAACTATGTTCCAGATATTAAATCCATATTTAACTAATTGTTTTAAATCGGTGAAAAGTTTTTATTTTATTTTATGTTTTTTAACATCCCTGGTAATTTTTAACTCAGTTAGCTTATCAGTATAAGATTAAAATATAGTCTTCGCTCATTATAAAATTTTTTAAAGACCTCTGCTTTGCGTGACGTAATCCTGTTAATTATATTTATCACTATCCAAATTGGAAAATAGGAAAAGCATAATATTAGTTTTGGCCTTACTTAATCGACCAGTTTCACTCGTTTAAACTGTAATGCTAGTGTGCTTAAATTTATATAGACTGACAAAATAATATTACATGCAAAATTTTGGTATATGTTATGCTTTTCCAAACCTTAACTCGATCCTAATGTAAGATTTTATTCAATTATTTTTATGTAATCTAGTAATCTATCCATGTAAACTCTAGAATTTTTTGGACACGCTAAGGCAATATTTTGATAGGTTTTTTTTTTTTATTTATTTTACTGCAACAATTTGACGTGTGATAAATTAATCTTTATTAACCGTAAGAGGCAAAAATCGACTAAGATACTTAAATGTGTTCAAATAATAAAATCATTACTCAACCAGCTTAAAACATGCTAATAAGTTTTGACAGTACGTGCTTAGCTTCTTTGTTGCTCGATCAGACTCTTCAGCTTAGATAAGCGTGATTCAGATAATATTTCTTGTGAAGCAGAGGTGAATAAATTATTCGAGTAGTATTATTTAGCAATGATAAGATACAGTATATTTTGCGGCTATGAGACACAATAATTAATTGTAACTATAAACAAGATTACGTATTTACTCTTTTTAGGAGGGCCTCCATCTATATACATGCCATCGTATATTTCATCTCCATAGCCATGAATATTAACCGAACGTAATACGATCTAAGATTGCGCCCAAGAGTCTGATCGACGCATACAAGATCGAATCCAAAATTAGGTGAAATGTATGGCAATACAAATTTGGAAGTTATTTAGCTACTTAATAAATATACAAATATAGGGATTTATATTCGAGAATAACAACATGTTAACCGATTATATGACAAAAATTTGCCACGCTTTCCCAACTATACATATGAAAATTCATTTATACAGTTATTTACCTTTTTTATTTTATTTTTATAATAGTGTAATAATTTTAATTATATCGATTTATTTACTGTATATCAGATAGACAATTCGAGTTAACCAGGTTTTAATCTTAACTCGATTTCTGATATTTTCAATTCGGTTGACAGATAAACCGGGTTTCAAAAAAAATTAAATTCGGTTTTAGATTAATTTTGAATTGAATCAACCCAATTCGTTTTTTGAATTTACGACCGGTTCCGACTTCTACTCATGTTCCGTACAACAATTTATTTTCTGATTTAGTTTGGTTTCAACTCCGTTACATGGTTCTATAAATCTTGATACAAAAATTTTCGATTCTACAATCTTTGAAATTGATAGCAAGCATGAAGCAAATTTTGCAAAACCCATACCAACAAAACTCCTTGATGAACTTATTGACCAAGCAGAGGACTATATTTGCAAACAAAATAAAGTCTCAAAAAACAAAAATGCTGAAGCTACTACTTTTATCAATACTTGAATACTTATCATCATATTGCTGCTAAGAATCATAATATTGCTAATCTCTCAAAAAAGAAAGTAATTGAGTATATTACAGCAAATGTAATTGATACATATTTTCTCACTTGTATAATTACTTACTTTGATATTATTAAGAATTAACAATTATCTTTATCACAAATTATTAAACACTACAAAGAACAAGTTCTTTCTGAAGTTAAAATTTTTTTTTCAAAAAATTCAATATAGAATTTATGGAACCTGTTTTGCTAGAAGACTCATTCTTCTTCTTAGAAAATTCTTTTTATTGAATAAATTTCTTAAAATATAAATGTAACTACTATCTTACTAAAAGATATATCCATTGTAGTTAGTAAGAAGAATGATATAAATAAGTAAGCAGTAAAGTCTATTTATATGAAGAACTAAGTTTATTATGATCAGACTTAATGTACAGAGCAGATTATAGTATCTTCTACATTCATAAAAGCTAAGAATACAGTGAGTACCTTAAGAGATTCAAACTTCAATATGCATTTTCTAATATCATCCAGATTATCTGATACATATAAATTATTGAATACAAATATATATAATAACTTTAATAGAACCTCAACTCACAATATAACCAACACTTGCTATAACCTCTTTCTTCTACAACACAACTTACTACTACTCAAAGAAAATGAAGAATTAGTCTTTTTTCTTATTTACTTATCTAACAACTCCTTTTTATAATTAATATTCATTTCTATAAATCAAACACTTACTGAAACCTATATCTATTTTAATTTAGTAACCTATTTTCTTAAATATTACTATTTATTTATCTGAACTAATACAACTAACTCAATTTTATAAATAGCTTCTGATACTAATACTAATAATACTACAACTTGCTTTTACTAAATATTGTTACTTATAATATTAGAAGATACAATAATACTCTTAAAAAACAACTATAAGAAGACTTCTGTCTCTCTTATAACTATAACATTATTAGTTTAATAGAAACTAAGTTCACTAATTCTAAGTCAAACTTCTTCAATATTTAATACTTCATATATCACTTATCAAATTCTGCCTCCTCTATAGAAGAAGCTAGAATTATGCTTTCAAACTATCTAACATTATATATTCATTAAATTTTCAAATATGAAGAAGGTGCAATATCTATTGACCTTTTTTTCAAACATGATTTCAAATTCAGAATAATTTTAGTTAATTTATTTTCTATAATATTTTTTGCAGAAACTCTACACAAAACTAAAGTTAGTCAATTGATACAGTAAGTATTAAATTAATAACTCTATCTAATAGTACTTAATAACTTTAATATTTATATCTCTACAACAAACTTAACAAACTAAAAATTTAGACTTATTAACTTTTTTATATGCAACAACCTATATGATCTTGCTAATTATATATTTAACTCATTTTACACATAGTATAACAACTAATCAAATACTAGAATTGATTACATATAGTGCTATGAGTTCATAATACCATATTTTCAAAAATTCTACTTTGAAAATCTATTAATATCTATACAAAGTGATCATATAATACTTGTATTTATATAGTTATTTCCTTATACTAACTTACTAAAACAAAAACAAAAATTCAAAGCAAATAGAAAAATTTTTAACTACAACTCTATGAACAAAGAAACTTTAAAAGAATTTATAAACTAAGTTAACTATAATCTTAATTAAAA